TGCAATGTTTTGTTGCTTAACCCTCAAATGCAATTCAAGTGACCATGCTCCACAGAGGGCCCATCACAGCTTCCAGATCCATTGAGCTTCTCTATCCAAAATATATATCCACACCTAGAATACTACATCCAGTTTTGGTCACCACAATATAAGTTGGGACTCTAAAAAAAAGTACAGAGAAGAGCAACCAGGATGATTAGGGGACTGGAGACTCAAACATACGATGGATGCCTGCAGGAACTGGGCCTGGCTAGTCTAGGGAAGAGAAGGACCAGAGGAGACAGGATAGCAGTCTTCCAATAGTTGAGGGGCTGCCACAGAGAGGAGGAAGGGATCAAGCTATTCTCCAAAGCCCCCGAACACCAGATAAGGATTAATGGATGGAAATGGATCAAGGAAAGGTTCAACCTGGAAATAAGGATAAATTTTCTGACGGTGAGGACAATCAACCCCTGGAACAGAAATTGCCTTCGGAAGTTGTGGGAGCTTCATCACTAGAGACTTTCATGAAGAGACTGGACTGCCATCTGTCAGAATTTAGGCAGGGGGTTGGACTAGATGATCTACAAGGTCCCTTTCAACTCTGTTAATCTGCTAAAAGCCTTAGTAAGACCACACCTAGATTACTGAATGCAGTTTCGGTCACCACAGTATTAAAAAGATGTTGAGTCTCTAGAAAAAGTGCAGAGAAGAGCAACCAGGATGATTAGGGGGCTGGAGGCTCAAACATATGAAGAATGGTTGCAGGAACTGGGCCTGGCTAGTCTAATGAAGAGAAGGACCAGGGGAGACATGATAGCAGTCTTCCAATATTTGAGGGGCTGCCACAGAGAGAAGGAGGGGGTCAAGTTATTTTGCAAAGTGCCTGTAGCCCAGACAAGGAATAATGGATGGAAACTGAACAAGGAGAGATTCAACCTGGAAATAAGGAGGAACTTTCTGACAGTGAGAACAATCAACAACTTGCCCTTGGAAGTTGTGGGAGCACCATCACTTGAGACTTTCAAGAAGAGATTGGACTGCCATTTGTCAGAAGTTGTATAGGGTCTCCTGCTTGGGCAGAGGGTTCGACTAAATGACATACAAGGTCTCTTCCAACTCTGCAACTCTGTATTTCTATATGCTAAAGAATCAGGGATGGAGAGACCACCAGGGTGGACTTCAGAAGAAGCACCTCCAGCTTAAATGAGCAGCAGGGTCATAATTTCTTAAGTTCCTGGAGTGCCGAAACTCCAGTCTTATCTCCGTAGCCTTAGGGAGACGTTGTGCAACTGGTTTAGCGAAACTAAGTTCAGCCCATAGTTTGTGAACAGAATTGTTTCAATGCATCCTCAACTTTGCTGGGTCTTTCACCACTTCTGGAGAAATGAAGCCTCGATTAGACCGAGCTCAACTACGATTGATCTTCATTTGACAAAGATAGACAGAGTGCTCGGGCTGGAAGGGACCTTGGAGGTCCTCTAGTCTAGTCCAACCAGAGCAGCGCTTCTCAACCTTGGCAGCTGAAGATGCATAGACTTTAACTCCAAGGTTTCCCCAGCCTCTCTTTCTCTTTCTCCCTTCTTTCATTTTCTTTCCCTCTCCCTCTCTCTCTTTCACCTTTTTCTCTTCTTTTCTTTCTCCTCTTTCTCTTTCTTTCTTTTTCATTCTTTCTCTCTCCCTTTCCCTTTCTTTCTCTCTTTAATTTT